ACACAGTAGCAGCAGCAAGCATATACAGGCATTTTATGGGGCAAAAAGTTGTTACAAGTGGGGCGAATGCAAAAAAGCTTCAAGCCACAAACACACACTTGTTCAGCCTCAGAGTGTCTGCTCTAAAGAAGGGCTTTATGAGTGTAGCAAATGTGAGAAAGCCTTCACCTGCAAGAATACACTTGTTCAGCACCAGCAAATTCACACTGGACCAAAGACATTTGAGTGTAATGAATGTGGGGAATCCTTTAGCAAAAAGTGCCACCTAAACTTACCTAAGATAGTTCACACTGGAGAAGGGCCTGATGAATGCAGTGATCATGGAAAAGGCTTTATCCATAAATCTGAATTCATTCACCACCAGAGACGTCACACCAGAGGAGTGCGTTATGAGTGTGGCGAATGTAGGAAAACATTTAGCTACAAATCTAACCTCATTGAACACCAGAGAGTTCACACTGGAGAACGACCTTATGAATGTGGCGAGTGCGGGAAATCCTTTAGACAAAGCTCTAGCCTTTTCCGACACCAGAGAGTTCACTCTGGAGAAAGGCCTTATCAGTGCTGTGAATGTGGGAAATCCTTTAGGCAAATATTCAATCTCATTCGACACAGAAGAGTTCACACTGGAGAAATGCCTTATCGGTGCAGTGATTGTGGGAAAGCTTTTAGCTGCAAATCAGAACTCATTCAACACCAGAGAATTCACAGTGGAGAAAGACCTTATGAGTGCGGCGAATGTGGGAAATCGTTTAGGCAATTCTCTAACCTTATTCGACACCGCAGCATTCACACTGGTGATAGGCCTTATGAGTGCAGTGAATGTGAGAAGTCATTCAGCCGCAAATTTATTCTGATTCAACACCAAAGAGTTCACACTGGAGAAAAGCCTTATGAATGCAATGAATGTGGAAAATCTTTTACCCGCAAATCTGACCTCATTCAACACAGGAGAATTCATACTGGCACAAGACCTTATGAGTGCAGTGAATGTGGCAAATCTTTCAGACAGCGCTCTGGCCTCATTCAGCACCGAAGACTTCATACTGGTGAAAGGCCTTATGAGTGTAGTGAATGTGGAAAGTCCTTTAGCCAAAGTGCTAGCCTCATTCAACACCAGAGAGTTCACACTGGAGAAAGACCTTATGAATGTAGTGAATGTGGGAAATCCTTTAGCCAGAGCTCTAGCCTTATTCAGCACCAGAGAGGTCACACTGGAGAAAGACCTTATGAGTGCAGTGAATGTAGGAAACCCTTTACCCACAAATCTGACCTTATTCAGCACCAAAGAGTTCACACTGGAGAAAGGCCTTATGAATGCAGTGAATGTAGGAAATCCTTTAGCCGCAAATCTAACCTCATTCGACATCGGAAAGTTCACACTGAAGAAAGGCCTTAAATGTGAAGGGAAGGTGCTATTTCTTTATTCAGTATAATAGCACTGGAGGAGATTGGGAGCCATCCTCCTAAATTTAAACTTTGAGCATCTAAAATGGGGGATTCTGTGTAAGCTTCAGGTATGTGGGAAGCTTTGAGGAGGTTCAGTGTCACTCGTAATCTGCACAGGTCCATAGCCTGATTTATGTCACTGCCCATTTCTTAGACTGAAGCCATTTTACCTCTGTCACCTTGCAGGTGCACACCATGTGCATGAGTCACTTCCCCACAGTGCTCAAAGAAGCAAACCTCTGTATTCTCCCATTTGCTTGGGGAAATTATTAATAGGTCAAGCAAGTAGGGGGTCCTCATGTCCTTTCCCTGACTTTAGAGTATAGACCTGTCCCAGTTTTGGTCCAGAGGAGTCAATCTGAGTTGTGCTGTCAGCATTCTAAGAAGGATTACTTTTTTTAGGGACATTGTTGGTCTCACATGATGGTTGTAATGAAGTTTTCCAGCTTCTGATTGACCAATTTGGAAACTGCTTGGTGCACATTGCTCTGATTTATAATCTTTTGATAAAGGCTGTAAAAAGGCCAGGCGCAGTGGCTTAGGCCTGTAATCCCAGCACTTTGGGAGGCCGAGGCGGGCGGATCACCTGAGGCAAGGAGTTCAAGACCAGCCTGGCCAATGTGGTGAAACTCGTCTCTACTAAGAATACAGAATTAGCCCGGCATGGTGGAAGACACCTGTAATTCCAGCTACTCGGAAGGCTGAGGCAGCCTCCCACTTGAACCCAGGAGGCGGAGGTTGCAGTGAGCTGAGATCGTGTCATTGCCCTCCAGCCTGGGCGACAAGAGTAAAACTCTTATCTCAAAGAAAAAAAAGTTTTGCCGGGCGCGGTGGCTCAAGCCTGTAATCCCAGCACTTTGGGAGGCCGAGGCGGGTGGATCACGAGGTCAAGAGATCGAGACCATCCTGGGCAACATGGTGAAACCCCGTCTCTACTAAAAATACAAAAAATTAGCTGGGCGTGGTGGTGCGTGCCTGTAATCCCAGCTACTCAGGAGGCTGAGGCAGGAGAATTGCCTGAACCCAGGAGGCGGAGGTTGCGGTGAGCCGAGATCGCGCCATTGCACTCCAGCCTGGGTAACAAGAGTGAAACTCCGTCTCAAAAAAAAAAAAAAGGAAAAAAAAAAAAAAAAAAGTTTTTAAAAATGTATGCACCTTTAATCTTGGGGGTTCTATTCACTGTATAGAATGCTTACAAGCAGAATAGTGATGTCAGCATGAAGGGGTGGACAGATTTTGCCCACTTCCTGTGCTCAGAAGGGACAATGTGATGGCAGAACAGTGATGTCAGCACAAAGGGGTGGGCAGATTTTGTCCACTTTCTGTGCTTAAAAGGGACAGTGTGATGGCAGAAGACCGGTCTTTGTCCTGTATTGGTCTACTTGGCCTGCTGTCCAAGGCCTCAAAGACTGCCAGACTTTGTGTTCCTGTATTGTGGTCTGGTGCCATTTTTGTCAGGTCAGAGGTCACCATGAAAAGGAGGCAGTTGTGACAATCCCCAGTGCTTCTGTGACTGTGAATTTTGTTCACTTGTTCACAAGAAATACCACATCATCCCTAGCACCATTAAGGGGAATCTGTTCCCCAGGTCCTGCAAAGGAGCCATGTTCCATGACATATAAGTCAGTGTAGGCTGGTTCCATTTGTTTTCAGACTATAGATATAGAGGTTAAATTCCAGACATAACCGTAATTGGGACTGAAACTCTTGGTAAATTGGGAGTGGAGAAGACTGCAGTAAATTAGATGGAATGTCTCTTCTAAAAGTTCATCTACAAATTTTTCATTGAATATAGCTATGTGGGACAAGTGCGTACAGAAATTCTGAGGATCTTTATAACCATTTCCTATCACTGAGACTATTGTCAGAAAATAGTCTATAAAGATTTTGTGGCTCCTTGCATCCTCTCTCGACTGTTTACCTCAAGGCCATTGCTATGCAGGTAGGAGAATAAGAATAGAGAGAAGGATCATTCTGCAATCCAGGGATATGGCTTTTGTGACTCAGCCAACATTCCTATTAATTCAGTTGGCAACAGCCTTCATTGCTTGCCAAAATTTGCTGCTTCTGGGGCAAGGTTGCCTCTCCCACGGCATGAGGAGAGAGAGAGAGAGAGAGAGATGGTGGAGTCCATATCAAGTTGCCAACCTGATTTTCCAAAAAAAAAAAAAAAAAAAAAAAAGTGCAACATCTAGGCTCTTAATTTTGAACCACTTTTTAAAGCTTTATGAAGGTCTAATTTGTACCACTGACATGCAACAAAGTACAGGTATCCAAAATGTGCAGTTTGGTAAAGCCATGAAACCATCATCAGAACCATGAATATCAATTTATCTGTCAGCTATATATTTTCCTTATATCCTTTTATAATCTCCCTCTGCCTTCCCTAGCTCTTCGGGGATCAACTGATTTCTTTTACAGTAAATTAGTTTGCATTTTCTGGAATTTTGCAGTGAGAGAGATATTCTTTCTGGTTTTCTTGCTGTATAATTATTTTGAGATTCAACAATGATGAATGTTTGTGTTGCTATTATGCTTTTCTATCGATAAGTCACTGTTTATCCATGTGTTTAGGGACATTTATGTTATTTATAGATTTTTGTATATTACAAATAAAGCTGCTGTAACTACTTGGATTCAGTTTTTTATATGGGTATGCTTTATTTTCCTTGTGTTAATAACTGAAAGTGTAATATCTGAATTACAGTGTAGATGAATGTTTAACATTTTAAGAAATGCCAAACTTTGATCTAAATGGATGTTTCCTATTTTATTCCCACCAAGGGCTTGTGAGAATTCCAGTTCCTCTACATCCCTGCCAGTGCTTCATGTGGCCACTCTTTTTTAATTTTAGCTCTTTTAATATAGTAGTGGTATCTCACTGTAGTTTTCGTTGCACTTCCCTAAAACTTCATGATATTGAGCATTTTAAAATGTTTTTATTTGCCACCTGTGTGCCTTCTTTGTTGGTAAGATATCTGTTCATATGTTTTTCCTACATTTTTTTTAGATGAGTTTATATTTTTTAAAAAATAAAAACAGTACATAATAACTGTCTTTAGTAACAGACATGTTGGAATTTTCCTCATTCTTCAATAATATGGTTTCTTCACTCTGTTTAGCAATTCTTTTTCTATTGGAGGAAATTTTTTTTCTTTTTCTTTTTTTTTTTTTTTTTTGAGTTGCCCAGGCAGAGTGCTGTGGTGCCAGCATGGCTCACTGCAGCTTCAACATTCCAGGCTCAAAAGATTCTGCTGGCTGGGCGCGGCGGCTCACACCTGTAATTCCAGCACTTTGGGAGGCTCAGGCGGGTGGATCACGAGGTTAAGAGATCGAGACCATCCTGGTCAACACGGTGAAACCCCGTCTCTACTAAAAATACAAAAAATTAGCTGGGCATGGTGGCGCGTGCCCGTAATCACAGCTATTTAGGAGGCTGAGGCAGGAGAATTGCCTGAACCCAGGAGGCAGAGGTTGCGATGAGCCAAGACCACGCCATTGCACTCCAGCCTGGGTAACAAGAGTGAAACTCCGTCTCAAAAAAAAAAAAAAAAAAAATTCTGCTGCCTCCACCTGCCAAGTAGCTGGGACTACAGGTGCGTGGCTAACTTTGCCTGGCTAATTATTTTTGTAGAGATGGGGTTTTGCCATGTTGCCAAGGCTGGTCTTGAACTCCTAGACTAGAGATCCTCCCACATTGGTCTCCCAAAGTGCTGCGATTACAGATGTGAGCCACCATGTCCGGCCCTCAATTTTGTTGTCATTTTTTCATTATTTATTTTAATTTATTTGAGACAGAGTCTTGCTCTGTTGCCCAGGCTGGAGTGCAGTAGCACAGTCTCACTCACAGCAACCTCAGCCTCCCAAGTAGCTGGGACTACAGGTGTGCATCGCCACACACAACTTATTTTTGTATTTTTAGTACAGACAGGGTTTTGCTATGTTGGCCAGGCTGGTCTTGAACGCCTCAGCGTACCAAAGTATTGGGATTACAGGTGTGAACCACTGTGCCTGGCCCAAATTTATAATTTTCTTCTTCTTATTATTATTATTATACTTTAAGTTCTAGGGTACATGTGCAGAACGTGCAGGTTTGTTACATAGGTATACATGCGCCATGTTGGTTTGCTGCATCCATCCCCCTGGTCATCTGCATTAGGTATTTCTCCCAATGCTGTCTCCCCAATCCCCCACCCTCCGACAGGCCCTGGTGTGAGATATTCCCCTCCCTGTCTCCATGTGTTCTCATTGTTCAACACCCACTTATGAGTGAGAACATGTGATGTTTCGTTTTCTATTCTGTGTCACTTTGCTGAGAATGATGTTTTCCAGCTTCACCCATATCCCTTCAAAGGACATGAACTCATCCTTTTTGATGGCTGCATAGTATTCCATGGTGTATATGTGCCACATTTTCTTTTTATCCAGTCTATCTTTGGTGGGCATTTGGGTTGGTAACAAGTCTTTGCTATTGTAAACAGTGCCACAGTAAACATATGTGTTCGTGTGTCTTTATAATAGAATGATTTATAATCCTTTGGGTATATACCCAGTAATGGGATTGCTAGGTCAAATGGTATTTCTATTTCCACATCCTTGAGGAATTGCCACACTGTCCTCCCACAATGGTTGAACTAATTTACACTCCCACCAACAGTGTAGAATTGTTCCTATTTCTCCACATCCTCTCCAGCATCTGTTGTCTCCTGATTGTTTTAATGATCGCCATTCTGACTGGTGTGAGATGGTATCTCAATGTGGTTTTGATTTGCATTTCTCTAATGAGCAGTGATGATGAGCTTTTTTTCATGTGTTTGTTGACTGCATAAATGCCTTCTTTTGAAAAATGACTGTTGGTATCCTTCACCCACTTTTTGATGGGGTTGTTTTTTTCTTGTAAATTTGTTTTAAGTTCTTTGTAGATTCTGGATATTAGCCCTTTGTCAGATGGGTAGATTGCAAAAATTTTTTCCTGTTCTGTTGGTTGCCGGTTCACTCTAATGATAGTTTCTTTTGCTGTGCAGACGCTCTTAAGTTTAATTAGATTCCATTTGTCTATTTTGTCTTTTGTTGCCATTGCTTTTGGTGTTTTAGTCATGAAGTCCTTGCCTATGCCTATGTCCTGAATGGTATTGTCTAGGTTTTCTTCTATGGTTTTTATTGAGTTAGGTCTTAAGTGTTTTTTTTTTTTTAATTATTTTTATTTTTTATTTTTACATTGGTTTCTACCAAAGGTCTATATTTAAATCTTTAGCTTAGGGGTCATGTAATTTTCTTTTAAAAATTCTTGAATATCCATGTAAGAAAAGTGACTGCTACCTTCCTTTACCTGGTATTGTATAACAGAAAGCATGCGAGTTTGCCCCTCAGCCAATATTTATTAGACATGCTAAGTAAGAGCCAATAAGATTGCCGGAGCCCAACAAGTTAATATAAAACAGTATAGATACCTGGTGTACAAAAGGTGATTACCACTGTAATTAAGGACATATTAAAGCTAGAGGGCTGATACTAACAAATTTGCTCTTCAACAACCCTGTGTGAAACCCAGACTCAGGCTTATAGCAAAAACACATAGGCAGCACCCAGGGGTGACTGCTAGGTTTTTGGAGCAGAAATCTTCGATTTGAGATGCAATTACTAGCTGGCTATTGGGGCTTAATTGAGACTGCCCGTATCACTGAAGAACATAAAATCCTGAAACCTGAAATACCCAGAATGTCTTTGGTGATGTTAGAGAAACATTCTAATAAGGAAGACAGTGCCCAGAAGAGTACCCTAATAAAATGGAAAGGGTTTGCACAGGAACATATTACCATGTGAATGTTGTTAAAACGCGTGCTCTGAATGAAAAGACCCCCCTAAAGAAGCTTTGTGTGAGCAACAAGGCTGTTTATTCACCCGGCTGCAAGTGGGCTAAGTCCAAAAAGAGTGTAGGGTGGTGGAATAGAAGTTGGTTTTATAGATTTGGGGTATGCAGTGGAAAGTTACAGAAGTTACAGTTTAGGGCGATTTTTTGCGAGCTGGGAGGGGGTCATAGGGTCTGGAGTCAGGAGGTGTGCCCTAGTGAAGCACTGAACCTCAAGGTAGTCTTGGGGACCTACTGAAAGCTCTATTATGTATTTTGTTTGATTCATTTTTATTTTTTCTAGAGATAGGGTATCACTCTGTCACCCAGGCTGGAGTGCAGTGGCATGTCTACAGCTCCCTGCAGCCTTGAACTCCTCAAGGCTCCTCCAGTCTCAGCTTTCTGAGTAGCTAGGACTACAGATGTACACCACCATACCCAGCTTATTTATTTATTGCAGAGATAGGATCTCACCATGTTGCCCAGGCTAGTCACAATCTCCAGCATCAAGTGATTCTGTTTCCTTGGCCTCCCAGAGTGCTGGGGTCACAGGCATGAGCCACTGCACCTGGCATTGACTTTCTAATTGTAGTGTAAAAGAAAAATAAATTTGGACAGTCTATTACTGTATCATTGCCTGAGAAAGAAATTAGGCTATTTAATCTATGCAGTGAGTTATACTCAATTATTACCAACATTTATTTTAATGTTAATATTCTCCCAGATTTTGGACAGTGGGAACTCACTAAAGCTGTCGGCTCTCTGCTTTTTTATGCCAATATTATTGACAATTTCATTACTTTCTTCTAATGCAAAAATATTTTCAGGCTCATGTTGTGCCTTTCCTGTCCCAGCCCGGGAATCAGCCTCTTTTCCAAGGAGCTCTGGTTTTCTTCAGTAGATAACAATGCTTGTAAATATTAGTAAGCATTAGCTGTGCTCTTTTCTACTGGTAAATCATTGATTGATAGGTCCTCTTGGGGAGAAAGCAGATACATACATATGCACACATTTGTATACAAATTCATTTCTATATATTTACAACTGCAAAGACTTTTCAGATACTTGAAATGACTCATGGGACTCTGAAAGCACTCTCTTGTAAGGCTTATATTTAAATATGAAGCGCACAGTACAGCTAGAGAAAGACAGAACAGGCCAATATCAGGGCTTAGAAAGATCTGGACACATGACCTTCAGGATCCTTATTCGCAAATGGACATGCTTCATCTTTGGACTGTGCCACTAATACCTATGTAATGGAGCTTGATTTCGGAAGAATTAATAACAGAAATTCCCAGTAGAGACTATTATGTCCCTTTGGCTGTGTGACCCAAGCCAGCCTAGCCATTTATGCCAGGTAAAAGCCAGCTGTAAAGACATGAAATGATTTCAGAGTTTAAGCAGCACATTGTAGCTCCCACTGCCTTTCTTTGCCAAGAGTCAAACTAGATATCCAGATATCCCCAGAGTTAAGCAAAGAATTGTCCTATTCCAGCTATAAAGTATTTCTATTCTCCACAGTTGTCCCTTTGTTGACTGGGTAGTTTTAATTACAACTCACTCCTTCTTAACATTCCCCTGTATCAGTTTAACTATTTATGGGACAGAATAAGCAAAAAGGGCAGCTGTCAAAATACTTTGTGTATTATATGAGATGTGGATATTGCTTCAAAATATTGCCAAAAACAAAATAGCCCAGCACAAAGATGTTCATAATCATGCACAAGATTGGCAACTATTTTACCTCCTTCTGTCATCAACTTTAAGAATGGTATCAATAGACTTATTCAATTCAAAGTTAATTCTAGTTCCTCTCCTAGCCAATATTTTCCATGGATAGAACATCTTGTGGTTGTTTTAATTCCGTTTCTCACTTCATTTTATAATCTATATCAGTACTGTCATAAGTTTTATTTCAAATGTGTTAGCTAGTTTGTGATGCCATAAAGGAATACCTGAGATTGGGTAATTGAGAAAAAAAAAAAAAGGGAGATATATTTGGCTCACAGTTCTGCAGATAGTACATGAAGGAAAGTGCCAGTATCTGCTTTTGGTGAGGGCCTCAGGAAGTTTACAATTAGGGCAGAAAGTGAAGGAGGGCCAGTGTGTCACATGGTGAGGTAGGGAGCAAGAGAGGTAGAGAAGAGGTGCCAGCCTTTTCTGAACAACCAAATCTTGCATGAACTCAGTGAGAACTCACTACTACGAGGAAAGCACCAACCCATTCATGAGGGATCCATCCCCATGACCCGAAGACGTCTGACTAGGCCCCACCTCCAACGTTGTAGGTCACATTTCAACTTGAGATCTGCAGAGAACATACATCCAAACCATATCAGAACCCATCAAATGTATTTGTAATACCAAATACACCAGTATTACACCAAATAGCAGACACATTATGAGTCTGATCATAATCATTACAAAATAAGTCAAAATTGTGGCCGGGCGCGGTGGCTCAAGCCTTTAATCCCAGCACTTTGGGAGGCCGAGGCGGGTGGATCACAAGGTCAAGAGATCGAGACCATCCTGGTCAACACGGTGAAACCCCGTCTCTACTAAAAATACAAAACATTAGCTGGGCATGGTGGCGCATGCCTGTAATCCCAGCTACTCAGGAAGCTGAGGCAGGAGAATTGCCTGAACCCAGGAGGCGGAGGTTGCGGTGAGCCGAGATCACGCCATTGCACTCCAGCCTGGGTAACGAGAGCGAAACTCCGTCCCCCCCCAAAAAAAAAAAAAAAAAAGTCAAAATTACAGTATATTCTCTACCTTTCCTCCAAATTGGGGTTCTTGCCCATGTACCAAATGTATGTTTTTTAGACATAGGTTCTCACTCTGTCACCCAAGCTGGAGTGTAGTGGCATGATCTTGGTTCACTGTAGCCTCAAGCTCCAGGGTTCAAGTGACCCTCCCACCTCAGCCTCCTTAGCAGCAGCTCATATACCATATATTGTCCTACAAAAGAGGTTAAATCCAGGGCTAAGTGTCGGCCAGATAATTTACTAATTTTTATTTTTTTGACTCTGTCACCCAGGCTGGAGTGCAGTGGCACGATCTCAGCTCACCGCAACCTCCGCCTCCTGGGTCCAAGCGATTTCTTCTGCCTCCACCTTGAGTAGCTGGGATTACAGGTGCGCACCACCGTGCCTGGCTAATTTTTGTTTTGTTTTGTTTTGTTTTGTTTTGTTTTGTTTTGTTTTTCAGTAGAGATGGTTTCACCATGATGGCCAGGCTGGTCTGGAACTCCTGACCTCAAGTGATCCACAGGCCTTGGCCTCCCAAAATGCTGGGATTACGCATACCGAGCCACTGTACCCGGCCCAGTCAGAGAATTTAAATGTTCTTGTGAGGGTAGAGTATATGCATATTGGGGCCTATCCCTAATGAATGAAAATTGGCTTTGGTTTCCTTATGGAAAAGAAGGCATGAGCCAAATCTAGTATAGAATACTGATCGCTCTGAGCTTATAGCACAGGTTTAGTTGTTGATGCTATATCAGACATAGCTGATTAAATGGGGGGGACACTAATTTATCAAGTCTTCCATAATCTATAGCTAACTTACCAGATCTATCAGCTTTTCTTCCAGGCCATCTAGACCGAGGCTGGAGTGGTGCAAGCACAGCTGACGGCATCCTCAAACTCCTGGGCTTGAGTGATCCTCCCCTCAGCCTCCTGAGTATCTAAGACTACAGGCAGGTTCCACCACACTCAGCTAATATGTTTTCAAATTTTTTGTAGAGAGTAGGTTTCACTATGTTGCCCAAGCTGGTCTCAAACTTCTGGCCTCAAGTGATCCTCCTGCCCTGGCCTCCCAAAGTGCTGGGATTACAGGCATAAGCCACCACACCCAGTCCATCCTAGACTCCTAAATAGGGAATTTTAGTAATATACCTGCATCTAAAAGATCCTTAATTCAAGTCGACATTTATTTCCCCCAGGAATTGTTATAAATTAACCACTTGAGGGACCTTAGCTAATTCTAAAGGTTCCCATCTAGCATGCTCAATTAAAACAGGACTAAAAGCAGATTTATATGGCATCCTATCAATTCCAATATTGCACTGTGGTAAGGGTGAGGCAAAAATCATATATAATTCCTGTCCATAAATTCCTTTATAGACTATATTTCTCCAGCTGTAAGCCTTCTAGCTGTATCACTATATTCTTGCAATTATATTACCCTTTATGTTTATATTAGCTAATTAAGTTATAGCAACATTGATTGTCAATTGTAGTAAAGTTTTCTCTCCCTGAAGACCATATACTTCATTCCGATGAAAGTGAACTTGAGGTCCCAGCTGGAGGTCATGAGACTCCAACCAGCTTATTGTGAAAGGAAATTAACTTTTGGGACCCCAAACCCATTTAGCACAGGGGAAAAAGTCAAGCTGGGAACTGGGTCATGCAAACCTGCCTCCACCTTTTGGTTCCTAAATAAAATGGCAACAAGATGAAAAGCTACCTGCCTTCCCCATATTTTGCCCACAAGAAAACTACTGGTGAGCTGTTAAAGCTTACCATGACAGGCCGGGTGCAGTGGCTCATGCCTATAATCCCAGCACTTTGGGAGGCTGAAACGGGCGAATCACCTGAGGTTAGGAGTTCAAGATCAGCCTGACCAACATGGAGAAACCCTGTCTCTACTAAAAATACAAAATCAGCCAGGTGTGGTAGCACATGTCTGCAATCCCAGCTACTCAGGAGGCTGAGGCAGGAGAATCCCTTGAACCTCAGAGGCGCAGGTTGCGTTAAGCCCAGATTGCATGCCACTACACTCCAGCCTGGGCAACAAGAGCAAAATAAAAAAACCAAAACAAAAAAACAAAACTTGCCGGGCACAGTGGCTCAAGCCTGTAATCCCAGCACTTTGGGAGGCCAAGGCGGGTGGATCACGAGGTCAAGAGATCGAGACCATCCTGGTCAACATGGTGAAACCCCGTCTCTACTAAAAA